TGATTTATCCTTATAATTCTTCCTGCCCATGACAAAAGCATCAAGCATCGGAGAAAAATCTCCAGCACTGTCAAGCCTTGTTGTTTTAGACTCTGTTTTCCCTTCCCGTGTCTCATTTTTATTTATGCACATAATCGAGGCTTGTCCTTAATGTCATTTTCTCTAGGCAAGCTAATGGAAGATGGAGCTTAGAGGACAAGAAAACTGAATAAGGCTTTAAAGAATATTTTCATGGCAGGAGGCTCATCAGCTAAGAATATCAGACAATGGTTTTTAGTAATCTGTGCGAACAGTGGGAAAAATAAAATAAAATAAAAGGCAATGAATGAGACACTTCAGAAACTCACTTTCCTTTTAGCCCGAAACTTGTTTCAGTGTTTTAAAGCCACTTGATCAATGCCCGTTATGATTAAAGATGAAAGCCAAGATCACACAAATACTTCTGGCCGGCCTGCCAAAACTGAACCCTTGAAAAATGGGTTGTCACACTACATTTATGGAAGCAGAGAATCCATTTCTATTACGTTTAAACTGAATAAAGATCACATTATAGCAGACGTAGCAGTAAATAGGTGCTTTTAGCTCTCTGACCATATGGCATTTACAAAATGAAGAAAAAGGCCACAAAAGGACTACATAACACCTAATCATGTTGCTATGTGCTGTCAAGTCACTTGCAACTAGAGATGGGGGTATACGTATACGAATATCCCCGCACGGGTGGCATTAACGAGGGTCCAGTCCCATGGGGCCAGATGGTCCACTCATCGATCCGATGCGAATGGCACAATTCTACGAATGACTCCGCAGTGCGCGATCCGCTCACCACTCCTGGCAGGAGGCGGGAGAACAAGCCTTGGTGCAAGAGTTGAAGAGTGGTGAGCGGATCGCGAGCTGCGGATCCATTGGTAGAATCGCGCCGTGCGCATCGGCTCAGTGAGTGGACCGTCCGGCCCCATGGGGCTGGACCCTCATCAATGCCACTTGTGCGGGGGTATCTGTATACGAATACCCCCATCTCTACTTGCAACTTATGGGGTCTCCAATACTCAAAGAGCCCAGCCCTATCCGTTTTACAAAACTGGCTCTCGGCATCTAATCATACTATAGCAATATTATCCACAATAACAGTAAGGACCACACCTGTATACAGTAATTTAACAGCAACCCAGGTGTTCTTGCACTGCAGTTCCCAGAAGCCTTCACCACCAGTTGTGCTTGCCGAGGGGTTTCTGGGAATCGCAGTCCAAGAACATCTGGGTGACCCCAAGGTTGGGAACCACTACTGTACTATGGCGGTTACCCAACATCACAACCTGTTAGGTAATCTTAATGGCCAAAATTCTCTTGGGATTTTACACCGGGTTAATGTAAGTATAGTAGTTGCAACTTTTGGTGGTAAATTGCCTCCAGAGAAGATATTTTTGCTGCATATCTGCTCTGTTGTGCTCATGACTCAGCGTAAATACTGTAATGTCTACAGTAATTTCTTAATTTGGGGCAACTTGTATCCCATTTGCTGTATGTTTGCAGATGTAACTAGCAAGAGGGCAGCCAGTATTTCACCTTTCCATACATACTGAAAGTAATAGGTTGTTAGTCCACAAAAGATACCAATACTGACCCACCAAAAAGACTCTCCCTCCCATACTTGGCTCTTGTACATTTACAGTCAGAGACAGAGTTGGAAATCATGATGGGCAGGCAGTGTGGGGCAATGCTCAGAACACAGCTAAGAACCAAGGGTCCTCTAAATACCATAAATCCCATGTGCCTAGCTCATGATGAGAAATGCTTGGGGAGGGGGGGATGAAGTTCAACAACCTCTGGAGGGCCACCAGCAGTCTGCCCTACGCTGTGTACAGGCTCAGGTCTAGGAAGACAAGGGTTCAAATCTCTGTCAGCCATGAAGCTTGTTAATCTTGAGCTCCCACGAAGACTGTGGTGTGGATAAAATGGGAGGCAGAGAACCTACCTCTGCAATGCGACAAAGGAAGAGAGAAGCAAGGGGAGTGTTACCTACCACTGAGGATCTCATTGCTACTGTCCCAGAATTCTGCTGATTTTGACGGTCTGTGATAGAATTCATCTCTGTTAGCTGCTAGGATAAGCCTGCAAGAAACGAAGGGGACAACACAAGGGTTTTAGAGGGTCAAGGCGTTCAATCGACAAGAATCTTTGGATTTGTCACTGATATGCCAAAAAGATGGGAGGGAAAAAAGAGTTATGATTCCTAACGTTTCGCCAGTCTCTGTGGCCGGCATCTTCAGAGGACCAGCACTCTTTGCTCTGGTTATTAAATTCCAAGCGGACCTCTGTACTGGACCCAATAACTGTTAGTCTTCAAGAAGATGCAAAATTTGTTTCTTTGTTGTTGACATGGGTCGTTAAGATGGAATCAACTCACAGCAGTTCTACCAAGGTTTTCAAGGTAGCTGAAATATTTAAAGAGTGGCTTTGCCAGTTCCACTTCCCCAGTGGGTGTCCATGAATGAGCAGGGATTTGAACTCAGACCGCCTGAGTTCTTAGTCCATCAGTCTATCCACTAACCACACTGGCTATTCATAGAATCATAGAATAGTGGAGTTGGAAGGGGCCTAGAAGGCCATCAAGTCCAACCCCCTGCTGGATGCAGGAATCCAAATCAAAGGAGATCTTTCATCTTTTCAAAGAGTCAATACACAGATGGCCATGTGGCACCACAGACACAATGTGGTGGAATGTTTAGCACAGGGACAGGGGAAATGTGTGGCCCTTTAGAAGTTGTTGGGCAGCAACTTCTATTATCCCTAAGCAATACACTAGAACCCCCATATACACAGGACCAGTATCCACACTCTTACTTAGCCGCAGTCTGAAAATATTAAATATATACAGTGGTGCCTCGCTTTACGATTACCCCGTTTAATAATGAAAACTCATTACGATGTTTCCTATGGGGGAATTTCGCTTTGCGATGATCGATTCCCTGCTTCGGAAACCGATTCTTTGCAAAACGATGATTTTCCAACAGCTGATCGGCGGTTTCAAAATGGCCGCCGGGTAAACAAAATGGCCCCCGCTGTTTTCTGGGATGGATTCCTCGCTGCACAGGCAGCGAAAATGGCCGCCCTATAGAGGATCTTCGCTGGACGGTGAGTTTACAGCCCTTTGGAACGCATTAAATGGGTTTTAATGCGTTTCAATGGGTTTTTTCTTTTCGCATGACGACGTTTTAGTTCTACAGCGATTGCGCTGGAACGAATTAACGTCGTAATGCGAGGCACCACTGTAACTCTGGGTTGCGGTCACGGCCCCAGCTGGCTTCTGAGCCTGAAACAGCAAGGACTTCAACTTGATGTTTCTAAGATGGATCTTTTGGGAGTATATGAATATGAAAGTTTATTTGTGCCCTCAAATAACATGGGAACTTTTCCCCGCACAGAGGTCTGAACGCGCTGAAGACAAAGCTAGAAGCCGAAGCCTTCAAACTACAGTAAGGAGACTTTAAGGTAATTAAAATACCTTATCCTTCTTTTTAAAGTAGCCGTATTAGAGAGAAGCAGCAGCTATCTCCTCCAAATAAATTATACAGAACTCTAAAAATAGCTTCATAACCTCAGCCGTGTGAAGATTTATGTAACTTCTTACTGTGGAGGCAAGAAAGATGGAAACATGAGAAATCATTTCCATTGAGCCAATTTCCCGTGATATAATTCAGTGCCATAAAAAGATTACGGCTCCAAAATCTAAAACCTGTATTTGCAAAAGTAGGAATGTGCGTTACAAAAAGTGGGATTTATACATGGTTCCCGCACTCAACGGGATCTACCGTTTTACGAAAGAAACCTTAGTGAGCAACCAAGAACCCCAGCGGATCCTACGGAAGGAATATTTTGCCTGTACAGGGACTCATAAGATGTCTCCGGGAAGCCCACAAACAAATATGCGCCCCGGCATCTTGGTGGGTAAAGGGGCACCAAGACATCCTTGACCCGGTAACAGGGGCATTGAACAGGGAAATCAGCCAGTCTTCTTCCTTGGGCACGGCCCCAATCCTCCTGATACATGGCAAGCAGAGGGTGGTTAACTTCAACTTCTCAGTCGTCCGTTTTTTCCTGCCGTCTGATGGAGACCGCTCCAACCATCCTCCCCAGAGGTCAGTAGCCAAAGACCCTTGTAGGTTGCCTCTCAGCTAGGAAAGCTTCCACATCTGCCTCCCGTGTCGCTTCTGGTTTGGACTCAGCATAAAGCCCAGGCTCTATAGCTCAGACCTGAGGTCCTTTGGGACCTCAGCTCCTGCGGGCCAAGGCCTAGTGAGAGGAATCAGCAAAGGGTACGGGCAGTCCTGCCCAGGGGGCCCCAGGATAGCGTCAGCCAGTCGGTGCTTAAGCTTTCTACTCTTCGTCATCAGATCCCTCTCCTCGTCTCCTGCAAACTAGGGACTACAAAGACCGCTCTGCAGAGCGGCGTTACACAAAAAAGAAATGAGCTATTGATTGCATTCAAGGACATCCATTTCAGGATAGTGCAAGAGGAGAAAAAAACCAAACTTATTTAGAAAAGACTTCCAGCTATGCCACTCGGCTGACAGACATTCCTTGAAGCAGGACCAAAAGAAAAACGCAAAAGGTGAGGTCCGAGAAGATGGAAATGCAAGAGTACCCATTTATACACAGATGTAGAAAAGACAAGAGGAGAAAACATACTTGGGCTTATCTGATTATCTACCTTTTGCCTAGTTCAGTTCACTTGCTGTGCTTGTTAGTGCCTCCTTCCAAGAAACAAAGCCCTGTGTTCTCTGGATAGCATTTGTTTTCTATTAAGGGGACAAATAGTTTAAGGTCGTAAGCAGCAAAGTGGCATCTGCGCAGGGAGTAACCCCCTCCCAATTGTTTTTTTTTTCCCATATCCCGTAATCGCAGTAGCCAACACCAAGAGAAGAAACTTTACCCAGAGATGAACATTACCTGTATGCATTTTTGGAAACCGGTCGGGGGTCAAACTTCAAGAAGAGAATGCACATGGATGATGAATCCAGATGTGGTCCTTCCTCCGGACAGCGTCAGTGAAGAAAGGTCATGCTGTGGCAGCCTGCAAGTGAAACAGATGTGCGATAAGAGCCAACGTGAGTGTGGCATTCACGTAAACCCAGCCTCCACTTCGTGCCTTACGTTCCAGGTTCCTGCCAGGAAGCAATCTGCATTTGCAATCTTCCGTGCTAAAATTAACAGACTTCATAATTTGGGGGGCAACGACCTACAAGCTCTAAAGCAAACCTTTGCCACTGCCAAAGACGTAATGTTTTAAACAGTTTTCAGAGAAGTAGCCATGCTAGTCTGTTTCAGCAAAAAGCAAAGGAAAATTCCTTGAGACAGAATTTTTCTGCTGGATTGCATTTAAGTCTAGCCAATTTATTTCTGTATAAATAAACATGCTTTCTGCACCAGAGACTAAAAAAAACATAGAAAACAAGAAATTGTATTATTTGGCCAAGAAAGAACCTTTAAAAAGCTATGATCTCTTTTTTAGTTGTTTTCTTGTCTGGAATTTGTGGAAGGAGAAATCACACGCATGCTCTAAATGCATTGAGTTCTGAAGGTCTTCAAGCTTGCATACTCTCTGCTCCCTTTCCAGTCCATATTTATTTCTCTTAATACGGGGAGTATATAAAGTAAAGGTTCCCCTTGACGTTTAGTCCAGTCGTGTCTGACTCTACAGCACGGTGCTTATCCCCGTTTTCAAGCTGTAGAGCCAGCGTTTGTCCGAAGACAGTTTCCGTGGTCACATGGCCAGCGCAACTAGACATGGAACACCATGACCTTCCCACCGAGGTGGTACCTATTTATCTACTCGCATTTTTGCATGCTTTCGAACTGCTAGGTTGGCGAGGAGCTGGGACAAAGCGACGGGAGCTCACTCCGTCGCGTGGATTCGATCTTACGACTGCTGGTCTTCTGACCTTGCAGCACAGAGGCTTCTGTGGTTTAACCCGCACCACCACCATGTCCCTTGAATATGAACAAAAGCTATTAATGATCCTAATGAACGGTAGGCAAGTGCAGGCTCCACTTTACTGGCATAAATAAGAAAGTAAAGCATAGGTTGACATAAATTCTGCTCCAGATTGACATAAATTCTGCTCCAGAAAAGTGCAGATTAAGTGCATGAGACTCGTCTTGTTCTCCTACTGGGAGGCCCAAGTGAAATCAGAACAGCCCCTCTGGTACTTGGGAAATACAGGTAGCGAAGCGCATCTTTAATAGGGACATTGGATATCATCATCATCTCATCTTAGAACTGCACAACTGGAAGAGACCCAATGGATCTTTGAGTCTAGGAGGCACGAGGGGAACTGAACCCCTTTACAGCCAGAAACTTAAACTACTGAGCTGTCTTGCCAGTTCATTATGTGGGAGATGCACAGCTCTGCAGTAAAGCACCTGCATTGACCTAGAAACTCCCAGGTTCAATGCCTGGATCAGGCAGCCGGTGGTGGAGAAGACCATTTACTAGAGCAGCCAATTCAGGCTAAGAGGACAAATAACCAGTCATTTTCTCCTGTGGGTCAAGTGGCACCATCTCCCACCCACTTCGCCCTGAGACATGGTTGCAGGTCACCCCAAGGAAAGGGAAGGAGAAAAGGTGGTGATCCTGGAAAGAAAAGGTTGATGCATTGAGGAAAAAGGAAAGTGAACTTTGCAAGTCAACACTTATTTTCCCAATACTACAGTGGTGCCTCACTTAACGGTGATAATCTGTTCAAGAAAAATCGCTGTTAAGCGAAAACATTGTAAAGCGAAAATAAGAAGCCCACTGAAACGAACTGAAAACCTTTCAATGCGTTCCAATGGGCTTAAAACTCACCGTCTAGCGAAGATCCTCCATACGGCGACCATTTTCGCTGCCTGTAAAGCGAGGAATCCGTCCCTAAACACAGCGGGGAGCCATTTTATTTACCCGGCGGCCATTTTGAAACCGCCGATCAGCTGTTTAAAAAACGTCATTTTGCAAAGAATTGGTTCCTGAAGCAGGGAACCGATCATCGCAAAGCGAAATTCCCCCAGTTAGACCATCGCTTTGCGATCGCAATTGTGATAGCAAAAAGATCGTCATAATGCAGATTCGTCGTAATGCGGGGCAATCGTAAAGCGAGGCACCACTGTAGCTCATTTACTTCTTGATCTTGGTGCCCTCTACATCTTGGCACCCCTGGAGCAAAAAAAAAAAAAAAACCCACCCCATCTGGTTATGGACCTGCAAGTCAACTTCCTATTTTTCTTACGCAGTCTTCATAACACCCAGTTCCGGACCCATTGGCGCGCTTAAGGATTCCAGCCACGTCTCGATGGCATGACAAATAGACTTTACAGATCAGAACCTTGCAAAGCTTTTCAAATATTTTCTCCATCGCCCCACTGGGAAAAAGCGTCTAGCCGTAAAGCCAACACTCGGCCTGACTTTCCCCTTCAGCTGAAACAATGATTAGAACGTTAGCAACTGGACAGGCCTCGGCAAGTTTCAAAGCTACAGACGGCTTCCGTGCAGCACGGATTTTCCAGAACAGAGAGATGGTGGCATGGGGATGCAGGAATCAATATATGAACTCCACCGCGGCTCTGAATAATTAACTTAACCTCGCCCTGCTGCATGATGACTGAGGATTTTTATCAAAAGCATTTTTAAAAAATGTTATAAGCCTAGGGAAGCTGTTAAAATATAATCTCCTCTTGGTTTCTTGCTAGTAAATCTGCTTCTAATTCAAGATCCCTGTTTCTCGACACCTCGCGAAACCCTCCCACCATATCCCACGTCTTATTTCCCACAGAAGAAAGCCGGTTGTGCAGCTGTTCACACTGTTTCACTCTTTACCCTGAAAAGCAGAGAGATACACGAATGGAGTGCTGGAAGGCATTTCAGAATTAACAGACCTACCAAAACAGCAGCTTGGGGCTACTATAAGCTCTAGCTTTGCTAGAAAGATAGCAGCCTATTTTTCAGCTGGAGCCAACTCTGTAAATCTCAGTAGCTTGCCAAACCATGCCTGCAGCTAACATAATCCAAAGACATGTCTGATGGAGAGCACACAATTGCTTGGATCCTGACTTTCCTTCCACAAACAGAACGAAGTTGGGCCGGGATCAAACCTGGTTCCCCATCTCAGTTTGCAAGGCAAGTACAAGCTGTAGGACAAAGTCTAATTGCTAATCCCGATTTTAAAAGGTAAAGATGCCCCTTGACATTTAGCCCAGTCGTGTCTGACTCTAGGGCATGGTGCTCATCCCCGTTTCCAAGCCATAGAGCCAACGTTTGTCCAAAGACAATCTTCCGTGGTCACGTGGCCAGCGTGACTAGACATGGAACGCCGTGACCTTCCCACCAAGGTGGCACCTATTTATCTTCTCACATTTTTACATGCTTACGAACTGCTAGGTTGGCAGGAACTGGGACAAGCGACGGGATTTGAACTTACGATGGCTCGTCTTCTGACCTTGCAGCACAGAGGCTTCTGTGGTTTAACCCGCAGCGCCATCACGTCCCTTTTAGCATCCCAATTAGCATGGACCAAATGAATCAATGGGAACTTGGTAAATCAATACATGCATAATAATAACAACAATGTGTCCTCAAGTCAATTCTGACTTATGGTGACCCTTTTGAAGGTTTTTCAGATGTGTCTTGTCCCCCTAGGGGCACCCTGGGATGGTGCAGCTTGCTCAGGGCTACATAGGCTAATTCTACTCACAGGAGGCACAGTGAGGAATCGAACTCCAAACATCTGGTTCTGCAGCCAGATGCCTAAACTACCGAGCTATTCAGCCAACATGTGCATGCATGACATTAATTCTATTCAAGTCAGGACTGGCAATTGGATTTCTCCCAAAATGTGTTGTTTCTCTAAAGACACAAAGAACTGCATGTCATCATAAAGACCTTTTGCTGGACCTCAGGATTCACGGACTGCAGGCCATTTCTTCAGATGCATACGATGAAGTGAGCTGCAATCCATGAAGACTTGTGCCAAACAAAACCCAGAGTCTCTAAGACTCTGATATCTTTTGCTGCAAGACATGGAGGATGTGGTGATCTTGGTCATCGCTTTGATGGAATGTGCCATCTATTACAATGAAAAGAACGGTAGCCACCCAGTCCTGTTTACCTTACAGTGTCTTTCTTCCTTTCAACTTCAAAAGATATTGTTCAGCAGAACAAACGCGAAGGACGGACCCATTTCCTGTTTACAAAATAAACGTTCCAGTCAGAGGTGGTCCAGAAAGCTGTTTTTGTGCCAGTCCCTTTTTTGCTAGGTGGAAGCATTACAGTCTACATTTGCATCCCTAGTTTGCATGGGGTGAAGAAAAATGCCAAGTATGTTCACAGATTAAGAACCCTAACTGGACCGAATCTAGAGCAACATCTGGCGTTGGAAGACTGCAAGCTAGACATGATCGGGTGTAACCATCGCTCCTTTCGTATAACAAAAAACAAACAGCAGGCACCACTGCTGATAATAAAAGTTATCAGCATACTTTGAAGATCTTTGGAAATGTGATATAGCCACTCTGTTTGTTATAAGGAACAGCTACTGATAACCCCATCACAGGGGTGGGAGAGGTTTGGCTTTCCACATATTTGGATGCTCCCCTCGGATAACAAAAAACAACCAGCAGGCACCACTGCTGATAATAAAAGCATGCCAATAAAGGTTTCTGTTTCTGTTTCTGTTTCTGCTGATAATAAAAGTTATCAGCATACTTTGAAGATCTTTGGAAATGTGATATAGCCACTCTGTTTGTTATAAGGAACAGCTACTGATAACCCCATCACAGGGGTGGGAGAGATTTGGCTTTCCACATATTTGGACTTCAACTCCCATAATTCCTTAGTAAGGGACATGTGAGGAGGCCAGGCTGATGGGAAATTAAGCCCAAAGGTGTCTCAGAGGCCAAGGGTCTCCCATCCTGGATTGGTGCCCAAGAATCTCTCTCATTCTTTTTCAAAGCTTCTAAATGAGTGGCGAATATCACATCTAGTGGGGGTGAGTTCTACAGGCTATGTGCATGGGGAATTTCACACAAATCAGTAAAAACGCA